AAACATTTAAAATTGTGATACAGGGACAACATAACAGCTAGGATGTCTCCGGAAAGGTAAGAAAGGTTATTAAGGACTCGTAATCCGGAAATCGCGAAACAAGGTGAGATCGTCTTGCAAGCTCGAAGTCCTCAAACTGGAAAGCGGGAGCACATGTACATCCAACCAGAGAGAAGTGATTCTCAGGATCTCTAGGAGGAGTTGTTTTTACAGCAGTTTTCATGTCCGAGGAGATGTCTATATCCTTTGTTGGGAATGCACCAAACCACACATTTGGAGGCACAGTGTACTGCACATGTTCATTTTCTCCGAGTGGGTTAGGCCCGAGGCATGTTAACTTCACACTACCATCACTCTCATTTAGTTCCATAACCTTCATACACAAAAAAGGTATAAACAGATTGTCACATATGTGTAAATATCTAGTTTCAAATTTAGAACAATTGTAAGAGCAGACATTGGTAAAGGGCACAGTAAAATCTTCTTAACCAAGTACTACTTAGGAGTAAATTTAAGAAAAGTTTACTAAAATCATTCCGACTCCATCCAGGTATGTAATATTGTCCTTCTATATATGGAGTCTACAAACAATTGCATGCAGTTATCATCACATATCAAACAAATATATCACAATACAATCTAATGTACAACATCTTGTGATCTTGAGCTACTATATATAAAAGGTCAATTTGATAGGATGAATATGTCAATGCCTATATGTTGCTAATATGTATAAAAGGTCGATTTTGTAAGCGGAATAAGTCATTGACTACTATGTTGCAATTTTCAGAACACACTATAGTCCACCCTAGCTATCCTCAGTAGTTATCCACATTTTATATGAATAACTGTAAGGACATGTTAGCTATCCACATTGAACAAATACAACAAAACAAACTCACATATAAAATGACCACTAGGAATATTGAGTTGGCATTCAGGATGGGATATATCAGTCTTAATAGTAGCACATCAGATACCAATGGAGCATAGTAACAGTTTCATCAGTTAAACGCAAAGGTGTAGGGAAATACCGTGATAGGCTCTCCCGAGTAAAAATGCCATGTTTCTGCACACGGGATGCGGTGCAAGTGAGAGACACTTGCAGAAGGCAGCAAGAAGTAAATAGATGTACTGACAGGTCGATCAACTTTGTCTGCAAAACAATTGCAGAGTAAAGATATACTTCATCTGGCAAGATAGTATACATAGAGGGTGTTTGTTTCAGTCTTTTCTAAAACTTATTCTGCTTAAAACAGGAATTGGATTAAAATTACAAAGTACAAATGGAATTTCCTCAGAAATAGAAGAGCTCAAACTGTTCATAAACTACATATTTTGTTGAGAAAATCAATTCTAATGTCAATCAATAGAACTCCGCAAGTTTGACCATATTAAGACTTTCTCTAGCTGAATGTAATATTTCTGGCAAAAATTGCAAAATCAACACAAAAAGCTGCTGCCTGGATGAAATTTTTAATTTTCTACAGAAAACTCCTTAAGTTAAATTTGAGGAAATTTATTTGCGACTGAGTAGTGAGGATGAGGACATGATCTCCCAGTTTAAAGTATTAAAATTGCACAGTTTATGATCCAAAATTTTGTCCGACCATATTTTGATAAAACACAAGGAATTCTCATACTTGGCCAAGATGGAGAATAAATATAAATCGGAAGGATTGGTTTCAACTTCAGATGGGATCATGGGAAGAGGAGTGAAACCGATGATAAATGAAATGAAAGGGGGGAGAAGACTTACAAGTTGGAGGAAGATGAGATTTAGAGAGGAAGACGGAGGGGTCCCTGAATGTTTCTGCATAGAAGCCACCTTCTGGATGCGGCTTCAGATCCAGTTTGGCTACCAGCTTGGAGGCTGTAATGGCCGCCAATGGAGATGAACCCATTTTGATTCTTTACGACGATGGATGTGCCTTTGAATGGGCTGGTGTTTGACCACCAGGGTCTGGACAATTAGAGGTTTTGAACTTTAATCAAAGCTAGCAAATAGAGGTTTTGACTTTTGAGTCACGCCCACCACTAATGACATTTGTTTTCATTGTTTACTTGCACATACGTGTGAAATATTTATTTTCATGTACTTTCTCTCCATTTAAGTGGTGGGATGGTACGTTGTAGGTTGGGGACCAACCAGCGGCGGATCCAGCATCGCCATTCAGGTGGGGCCATAATTTAATTAAATAATGTAGTTTGCAAAAAATGTCAAAGTGTAGCAAAATAGTACGTTGTACTACATATGTTATTTGACATGATTTATTTTCAAATATAAAATAAAATTTGTTGCAACATAAATGTCAAAAACAAAAATAAATATAACAGGAATAAGAATTTCTGTCGAATGCAAAACACCTCAAACTCATACATTTTGAACTAATTTTCACGCACCAAATCCAATGAATTGAACAAATTAATTTTTCAGGCTCATATTCAAAAAGGCCGTTTACAATATTAGTATCTAACTCATTTGACATTTGAGATCAATTGATGTTAGCCTTGTAGTAACTCATCTTAGAAGATTGATTTTAAAAAGATATTCTGTATGAAGGACAAAGAGATTTTAGGAAAGAAATTAAAATTTGTACACTAGCTCTCCATTAAAAAGAAAAATAAATAAATAAAGCTCTAGATGAGCTTCTTACCCAAGACATGTAAGTCTTCAAACACGGAACATACATGTATGTGGATCAGTTTACTTCCATCTTGCCAAACTATTAGTTGTACACTTATTTACTTTCTTTGTTGTTATATCATTTCTTAACGGAATTATATATAATACTCCCTCCATCCCAATATAAAAGGCACATTTGCGTTTCTAGACATTTTAAGGGTGAACACTGTTTGGCACTGTTTAGACACTGTTTGGCACTGTTTGGACACTGTTTGGCACTGTTTTGCACTGTTTTGTTTGCCAAAAAGGGAAATGTGCCTTTTATATTGGGACGGACCGAAAAGGAAATTGTGCCTTTTATATTGGGACGGAGGGAGTATATATATACTAGCAATTTTATTTTTTTGAGGTTGGGCCTAGGCCCTCCCTGGCCTAGGGCTAGATCCGCCCCTGGGACCAACAGAAGGGGACTTGGGGGCCGGTGGTGATGACCGGTGGTGGTGGTGGTCAGTTGGTCACTTTGGCGGGATTGGTCGGAATCACTAAGTTGTTATGTCATTGCGGCCGAAGTCACTATGTAACTGTGGTCGGAGTCACTATATCACTGTGGTCGGAGTGATTGTGTCACGGTGGCCGGAGTTACTGTGTCAGTTTTGCTAGAGTCATTGCTCCGTGATTGGTATCATTGTGTCACTTTGACCAGTACTCCCTCCGTCCCATTTTACATGTCCTACTTTCCTTTTTGGGTTGTCCCAAAATAAGTGTCTTCTTTCCTCTTTTGGAAAGAAATATGTGGTTTACACCATTTCACTTTATTATACTCAAACCGCATTCACAACTTTTATTTTTTCAACCACTTCATTAATAATCGTGCCAAGTCAAAGTAAGACACATAAAATGGGACGGAGGTAGTATCATTATTGCCGGTGTCACTAGCTATAGTGATGTCAGTGGAGACTAGGGTTGGGGTAATTTAGTAAATTAATGCTTGGTAGTCACTTTTTTAGAAATTATAAAAGATTTAACTTTTTGGTCAATTATTCATTTTTTAGTACTCCCGTGTCTCTGAAAGAACTTTCAATTGCGATTTACGATGTTTAACCAATGATAAAGTTAAATGATCTCTGCCAAAACTCATACTACCTACGTCCCATTTTATGTGTCTTCTTTGGTTTTGGCACAATTTTTAATAAAGTGGTTGAAAAGATAAAAGTTGTGGTTGAGATTTAAGTATAGTAAAGTGAAATGTTGTGAACCACATATTTCTTTCCAAAAAGGGAAATGTGACACTTATTTTGGGACAACCCAAAAGGGAAAGTAAGACAGGTAAAATGAGACGGAGGGAGTATTATTTTTAGTAAAAAAAAATTACATATTCAGAAACTATATTAAAATCTCTACAATGTTTGCAAAAAATAATTCAAATTTCATAAAAATTTGATACATAGTATAAAAGATTAAGAGTGATTTAAATTGATCAAATGAATAATAAAATGTAAGTTCTTTTAGAGACAGATCAAGAGTGGTTAAAATTGATCAAGTGAATATTGGAATGTTAGTTGAGTGATGTACGCACTACCTTTACTATTAAGGCCAAAGACTCAAAATTCCAAATATATATAATATCAAAAGTCCTAAAGTCCACCATTCTAACTGACGACGATGTCATTGTCACAATGTCATTTTGATCGGTGTCACTGTGGCCGGTGTCACTATAGCGATGTCACTCGAGACTGGGTTGGATAATTTAGTAAAATTAATGCTTAGTAATCACTTTTTTAGAAATTATAAAAAATATCACTTTTTTGACGGCCGGGCAGAACCTCCTATATAAGGGGCTAATTGAACACTTTAAGTCGGTTCATGGGCCTATTTGACCCTTTAGCCTTACTAAATATGATATGAGACAAATTTAATGGGACGAACGAAAGGTGAAAAATTATAGTGGGACAGATGGAGTATTAGCTAGTGTACTACTTAGGATGTTTTCTTGTATACTGAAATTTACTGATCTGATCTGGTTTTGTTTGATCTGGTTTGGTCTAGTCTGTTTAAGTCTGGTCTGATCTGATTTGGTTTGGTTTGGTAATGTATGGTCTTTGTGTATTTTATAACTGTCTTAATCTGATCTGGTCTGGTTTGTTTAAATCTGGTCTGGTCTGGTTTGTTTAAGTCTGGTCTGGTCTGGTCTGGTCATCTCTATCTGATCTGGTCTGATTTGGTGTGATGGAAAATCATCCGAAAAAAACATCCTTGCTCTTCAAGTCTAAACTCTAAACTCCGTCATCCAAAATATCCCTTTAATTATTTGAAATAACAAAGAGCTAATGACGGAGTAGGATTCCTTCATTATTGAAATACGGAGTAGGATTATTAGTTCATTAATGCAGATGCCATTACAATTACTCGCTACTTCCTATTTGTGTAGAAATACTCAAATGCTAACTAACTTCCTATTTCCTAATAAAGAAACCCAATACAGATAGGATCATAAGATCATAGGATTAGGAAAGTTTAACTTCATTATAAATAGAAAGCTCCCTCCTGCCTTTACCGCCAAGCCTCAAGCTCTAATCGAGAATCCTACATACGCATTATTCAATCATCTGAATAACTTGAATCACTCTTATAATTAATTATGGCTACGAGTCTGAAGTACTGTGGGTTGATCAGTCCTTTGGAGAAGGAACTAGACGAATGGAGGAAGAGATTACAACACTCTTTCTCTCCACAACATACTTTGCTATTTCACCAACTTGCCGATAACACTGCTAGAAGTAAGTAGTGTCTTCTTTTCTTCAATTTTCTACAATCTTTATATATTAAAGTGCTTCAACCATTTTTACGTACAGTTTTTATTTGATTTATTTGTTTCATTTATTTATTTATCTTGTTTATTTAGTTCCAGAAAACTACAATGTGGAATGGAGTCAGTTTGTTGGAGGAGCATATAGTTGCCGTTCATGTTATGATTATCATAATATTGCAAGAAACTACAACTACGAATATGAGTCCTTCTCATCAACACTGAATGATTCAAAGGACGTGTTTGTACGCAAGGCTAAAACGCATGATGGGTCACTTGAACTTCAAAATCTGATTAAGAATGGGAATTCAGGAGACAGGCAAGAAGTTCTTGATGGGATTATTGGTTCCATATTTGAGGTGATGCTCGATCCACATGGCCACCATCTCTTTCGAAGAATTCTCGAGTTTTGTGATTCTAGTCAGTTGGACACCATCTTTGTCAACCTGACATCATCCAAGGAGTTGCTTATCAACACATCTCTCATGCAATACGGGTACAAAGAATTACTACATCCATATCTTTTTCATCTTTTATTTATTGAATGATTTTTCCATGTTTTACTATTTTGTTACAATCAATATATTACTAATAAGTTCATATCACATGCATTAACGCTATGACAGGTCAAGTGCAGTTCAAAGATTTATCAAGAGGATTAAAAACACTGAGTTGGGGCAATTCGTTGCAATCATCCTTTCCATGAGATTTGTCGAGTTGATGACTAGCGAGCACGGTAGATTTGTAGTTCAAGAGTGCTTTTACACCTTCGAGCCTAAAGAAAATGAGGTTCTGGACTAAACTTAGATCTTATTTAATTAGTGTCATATATACTTTATACATTTAAATTAAAGAGTAGTGACGTGCTATAACTACGCATGATACTATTTGATCATATGTTTAGATATTACTTCGTCTTTCATAAAAGAAATTAAAGTGTATTTTCTTACAAATTTTGTAAAATACCGACTTCGAATGTTTTTACTTGGACTGTAATTTGTCTCAGACCAGTCCAGACCAGACCAGACTTGGATAGTTATAAAAATAAAAAGAAACCAGACATTACCACACCAGACCAGACTAGACCACATCAGACCAGACTAGCAAATTACAGTCCAAGTAAAAACATCCTTCCTCTCACTCTTTTAGTGAATCAATTCAAACATTATTAAAATAAGTCCACTTAGATACCTATTCCGACCTTTTTAGCTTTCACGCAAGAGTGCTTGCGAGGGTTCCCGGCCATTCACAAATATGCATCCCTCAATGCAACTACTCTTTTGTTGCAACATATATGTATCTGATAAAGTTAAGTGTGATCACTTTATAATATAATGTAGTGATTGGAACACCAGATAGTGAAAATATCATACTTTTTTCAAGAGTTAGAGTATATTTTCGGAAAAAGTAAATTACGTAGTAAAATAATTCAAACATTATAGCTTGAAAGAGGTGGCAACAACATTATATTGCGCTTAAGTAATTGTAACAGTATGTTAACTCAGATCACTACAATTTCTCAACTTATTGACACTGCAGGTTTTATTCACTTGTGCAATCTCCTACTTGAAAGAGGTGGCAACAACACAATATGGATGTTCATCCTTGAATGTTTGCTTGAGTTGCATTACCGGTGCCCAAAGACAACAATTGCTCAAAAGTATCGTACATAAATCTGATTTCTTAGCGAATGATCCTTATGGGTGCGTATTTTATTTTATTTTCCACTCTTCAACTATGAATCTGAATATGATATCACCACCTTTTCAATCTCTAACTAATCAAACTTGCTTTTAATTACCTCTCTTCAAATAGGAATTATGTTGTCCAGGAAGTTCTTATGCTTAGAAACGATGAGATCACAAAAAAAATATGTGACCGCCTCAAGAGGGATTACCTACGCTTATCTTTTAAAAGAAGTGGAAGTCGTGTTGTTGAAAAATGCATACAAGCTTCAGAGTATGGACTGGATTCGGTAGTTGAGAGCCTTCTCAGCAGTGAAAAGAGTTTAGTGCTACTTGCTCGTGATCGATTCGGAAATTATGTTATCCAAACTGCTCTTCAGACCGCAAAGGTAAATAAAACTCGTCTTATAAATAAACTAAAATATAATGCATTACATATCTATTGCTACTAATCTTGCTATGCATTTTTTTTCCTGCAAGCAGGCAAGTAATATCAAGCATTATGAATCTCTTGTCACTGTCCTTAAGGCGCAACGCTCGGCTCTTCCGCATATCAAACTTGGGAAGCATATATTGAATCACATAGAAGATGTGCAAAACAATGTGGAAAATGTCTGATCTGATTTTTTCGTCAATTTGTACTTATTGAAATGCAAGCCCGAAAACTCTGTTTGGAAAGTTGATTAGTTGATATCTTAATAATGTTAAGTTTTTTTCTTCTGATAATGACTTTTTATTTCCTTTCAATACATTCCTGCTAGTTGTGGCCCTTGGGCATACACGAGGTTTTAATTTTTTATCCATATAATAACTCTCTATAATTGTATGTACAATCTCCCTTTGTGGATGAATAATTAGACAGTAACTCAAATTTTGATTTTACCGTTTCATATTCATCTCTAGAAGAATCCTTTTTGGTTAATCCAACTCAGAATTTGACAAGCAACACCAAAGATATCATTTTCTTCGCATTCATCCTCTACTTTCCCAAACTAAGAAAGCTTCAAGCTGTTCATCGTCTTTCGTTTCTCTGCATTTCAGTCCCCTTCATTAATTAAGTTGCAAGCTTCGTGAGTCGCTTGCCACGTCCCTCATCAAAACGTTTTTTGCGTTCGGTTTTATTAAAATGGATCACGAGTCAGGTCGAGTAATTAGGGTTGGAGGATTTGCAAATGCAATGAAGGGGAAAAGAAAAAGTACAAGAACAAAGTAAAATGAACAAAGAGAACAAATTAACAATACCCAGAGACAAGGCAAGGGAAGACGAAAGAATAAGGAACGGAATAAATATACAAAGCAAAGGAAAAAGGGAAAAGATCAGAAGAAAAGGGGCTATTCAAATGGCCTGGGATAATATAATCTCTTCGTTGATCTAAATATTCTTCTTCAATAAGTCTCATCTCGCCTGTTCACCGGTGTGTTCCGAGAAGATAGCACTGATAAATTAGATTAAACTAGAATGACTGATATTTGGGATTAATATTGGAATATGACTAATTGTTGGGATAATTTATTATTAATGTGAATTTTTCATATAATATATGCATACATGTTTACTTCAAAAACACTTGAAAGGCATTGACTTTTATTTTTAAATAAGAATCAGAGTCAATGTCAAATGTTCACTTTCCAAGCTCAATCAGTTGAAGTCAAAAAGTTAATCAGAATTTGTGATAAATCTACTCTTTACCAACCCATTACAAGTCTTACGTGCTCCTTTTTTGCTCTTCTGAGTCCATAGAAATAATACCCTTCAACAAACTGATTGTTTGGTTGTAATCCTAAAGACATCTATACAATTAGTTATTTATACATTGAAATTAATATATAGCCTAACCACTCGAGCAAAACAGCTTTTTAAAACATCAAACAAATACCTCCTAATAGGCAAAAAGCCAAAAATACAATCATTTAATGCAGTGTACTCCGAGAAGAATGGCTGACAATGGCGACAACTAGAATTTTAGGAGTACACTCACACACACCCAAAATGCAATAAGAGTCTATTTCAACTCCAAGTCTCCAACAGCTAGAGTTTGTTCCCACTATCAAATAAGATGGAAATAAAATGTAGTAACTTTTTGGAAACATAAGTAGTGCTACCAAAGAAGGGGAGCTCTCGCGCACCAGTTACGGTATTGCTATGTGACCGAGAGATCACAAATTTAGGTTTTGGAGCAGCCTGTTGTCAAAATGACAAGATGTGCTCCTTCTAAACCTTGTGGTGGAACCCTGATAGGGATGCGGGAAGACAGCCTGGTGTTAATAATAATGTTAACTATTATGGTCAGGTGTATTCCAGAAAGAGAAAACAGAATATTAAATAACTAAGTGTGGAAGTCGAGGGGGTGGAGGGGGAGTTATTATAAATAGCCAATTATTGTAATAAAAAGTCAGGCTGGTTTTTGGCTTTGGCTTGGGCTGGGACTGGGAGAGAGGCAACTCTTAAAACTGCCAGACTCTGTTCTCTTCATATTCCTATCATTTATTCAACTCTTAAACTGCCAGACTCAGTTCTCTTTCATATTCCTATCATTTGGTATCAGAGCTCCGATCGTGAGGCCTGTCTATGGTTGTTACCCGACGAAACATGGAAGACAAACTTGAACTGTTGGAACGGGAGCTGGCGGAACAGCGTGAGGAGGCGAGACTCAGGGACGAGGAGATGAACCGCAAGTTCGAGCTGGTGATGCAGAAGCTCGATCGCGAATCGCGCAGTCGATCCAACTCCTCCAGAACTAGCGCGCGAAATCGCAGTCGATCAAAATCCACCAAGGCCAGCGCGCGGAAGAGTAGCTGCGAATCCAGTTCCACCGCAGGTAATCTGCGATCGACCCATTCTAAGCATGCTGATAACCGCAGTAGACTGATTGAGAAAACTGGGAGAAAAGTGGATTTGCCACTCTTTAATGGATCCGATGCTTACGGATGGACCATTAAGGTTGAGCGTTTTTTTAAACTGAATCACATTGCTGAGGTAGATAAGATTGAGTTGGTTACCTTGGCCATGGAAGGAAGAGCTCTGAATTGGTATCAATGGTGGGAGGAACACTCAAATGTTAGAACTTGGGAACTATTTAGACAGGCTTTATTAGAAAGATTTGAACCAGGCCTGGAACAGGATCCTTACGGTCCTTTGCTTAATGTGAAGCAGACTGGGAGTGTGATGGATTATCGGGATGAGTTTGAGCTAGTGGCAGGTCCGTTGAAGAACACTGATGTACAATTTCTAAAAGGAATTTTTATGAAGGGTCTGAAAGCAGAAGTTAGAGCTGAGTTGAAACTGAATCCAGTTAGTACTCTAACTGAAATCATGAATAAGGCATCCAGGGTAGAAGAAAGAAACCAGACACTGAACCTCACAAAAGGTAAAGAGGAAGAAAGAAGAGGGTCAAAGGGTAATGTTTCTTCTCCATCTCAAAGATGGTTGCAAGAAAACAAATGGAAGGGAAACTTGACCAGCAATCAGTCAGGTATGGATAAATCCAGTGCTGAAAAGAGCAATGAGGCAGTCAATAAAAATGCTGGAGTGAAGGGGACACACAGGCTAACCCAGTCAGAGTTGCAGGAATTGAGCAGAAAGGGCCTTTGTTTCAAGTGTGGGGAACAATGGGGAAAAGGCCACATTTGCAGAATGAAACATTTCCAGATTATGATGATAGATGATTCAGAAGAGGAGGAAGAACAGGGGGATTTCAGTTTAGAAGCTTCACCGGAGAGGGAGATCAGTGAGCCTTCAAAAATGCAGCTATCTTTGATGAGTAAAGAAGGTCTGACCACTCCCAGGACTTTCAAATTGAAGGGTGAAATACAGGGATGCAAAGGAAAGAAGGAGGTTGTGATATTGATAGATTGTGGGGCTACTCACAATTTTGTGTCAGCCAGGGTGGTGCAAGAACTGGGGATTCCAGTACTGCACATTCCTGAGTTCAGGGTGGAGATTGGCAATGGTGAACAAATCACAAACAATGGAAGGTGTGAAGCTTTATCTGTTAGGGTGCAGCAGGCCATAATAACCCAGGATTTCTACACTCTGGATTTAGGGGGAACTGAACTTGTCTTGGGAATGGAATGGTTGTCAGGTCTGGGCAATGTGGAATTCAATTTCCATCAACTATCTATTAAGTGGATTGAGGGGAACCAGTCCATGATGCTCAAAGGAGATCCCCATCTGAGCAAAACTGTGGTATCTCTGAAAAGCTTGGTCAAAGCTATGCCTCAACAGGAGGAAGGGTACTGCTTATACCAATTTGAGGGAATCCAAGGGGTGGAAGAACAACCAAGCAACTTGGGTTGGATTCGGAGATTTAAGACAGAATTTCCTGAAGTTTTTAAACCTCTAGAGGGATTACCTCCCAAGAGGGACTGCGATCATTCTATAAATATCAAAGTGGGTTCAACCATTCCAAATATACGACCCTATAGATATCCACAATACTTAAAGAATGAGATGGAGAAGGTAATACAGGAGTTGTTAAAGGGAGGAATCATCCAGCCTAGCACCAGTCCTTATTAGTGCTGGACTCGGGCCGGTTCGGGCCCGGTTCGGGCCTGGACCCGGCCGGGCCTCGGGCCAGGAAAGGGAGGCCCGAGCCCGAACCGCCGGTGGCCGGTTCCGGTCCCGGTTCCGGGCCAAACCGGGCCGGGCCGAACCGGCCCAATTATTTTTTTTTTGTTCTCCTATTTAATCCCCTACCCCTCCCCCTCAACCCCAAACCATCCCAAACCACCTCAAATGGCCCAAAATACCTAATCCAACCTAAAACTTAAAAAAAATTCAAAAAAAAAAAAAATTAAAATCCGGCCCGGACTGGGCCCGAACCGCCCGGGCCGGTTCACCAAAACCTGGGCCCGGGCCCGAACCGCCCAGCAGCCGGGCCGGGCCGAACCGAACCGGTGGACCCACCGGGCCCCGGGCCGGGCCGGGCCAAACAGTAACCGGGCCGGGCCGGTTCCGGGCCGGGCCGCCTGGCCCGAGTCCAGCACTAGTCCTTATAGCAGCCCGGTGTTAATGGTTAAAAAGAAGGACGGGGGATGGAGATTCTGTGGGGATTACAGAGCCCTCAATCGAATCACAGTACCTGACAAATTCCCCATTCCCATCATCGATGAGCTGTTGGATGAGTTAAATAATGCCCAGATTTTTTCCAAGCTTGACCTGAAATCAGGATACCATCAAATACGAATGAAAGAAGAGGATGTGCATAAGACAGCAATCAGAACGCATGAGGGGCACTATGAGTATTTAGTGATGCCCTTTGGCCTTAGTAATGCACCTTCTACATTTCAGGCTTTGATGAATAAAGTCCTGAAACCTTTCTTGAGAAGATTTGTGCTAGTTTTTTTTGATGACATTCTGATATACAGTGCATCAGAACTGGAGCATTGGGAGCATGTGAGAAGGGTGTTGCAGCTATTAAAAGACAATCAACTAGTGGTGAATGAAAAGAAGTGCTCCTTTGGACAAGCACAACTGGCTTATTTGGGACATATTATCTCCAAAGAAGGTGTGGCAGCTGATCCTAGTAAGATTGCTGACATGTTGGACTGGCCATATCCTGTTGATGTTAAAGGGTTGAGGGGTTTCCTGGGGCTGACTGGTTACTATAGAAAATTTGTTCAGGGATATAGCAGAATAGCATCTCCACTGAATGACCTGCTGAAGAAAGACGGGTTTAAGTGGACTGAAGAAGCACAACAGGCTTTTGATGAGTTGAAGCAGAGAATGACTCAGTTGCCTGTGTTAAAAGTACCCGACTTCAACCAAACTTTCATCATTGAATCAGATGCATCAGGGAAGGGTATAGGGGCCGTCCTTATGCAGGAAGGAACGCCGGTAGCATACATGAGTAAAACCCTATCCAGTAGAAATCAAGGAAAATCTGTCTATGAAAGGGAACTTATGGCTGTTGTGATGGCAGTCCAAAAATGGAGGCCATACTTGTTGGGCAGAAAGTTTGAAATCCACACAGATAATACTTGTTGAAATCCATACTTCTTGACTGAACAGAGAATACTGGGGGAAGACCAACAGAAATGGGTGGCTAAGTTGCTGGGGTACAATTTTGTCATAAAATATAAGCCGGGTGTGGAGAATAAAGCTGCAGATTCCTTATCCAGAAAGGGATTTTGTTATTCCTTGTCTGTTGTTACTTGCCAGGAGTGGGAAGGCCTTGAGGATGAATTAAGGGAGGATGGGAAATATAAAGCCATGCTGCAGAAATTGCTGACTGAACCAGATTCCATCCCACACTTCAAGGTTAGCCAAGGTCTTTTGTACTATAAGGGCAGATTGGTTCTTCCCAAGAATTCTGGAAGGATTGCTAGCATTTTGAAGGAGTTTCATGAGTCTGCTATTGGGGGGCATGCTGGGAATTTTAAGACAATGAAAAGAATCTCCTCTTTGTTTTACTGGGAAGGAATGAGAACAGACATAAAGCAGTATGTTCAGCAATGTGATGTTTGCCAACGGAATAAGTATCAATCTCTGAGCCCGGCTGGATTACTTCATCCACTTCCCATTCCTAAGCAGATTTGGACAGACCTCAGCATGGATTTCATTGGAGGTTTGCCTAAAGCCCAAGGTAAAGATACTATTCTGGTGGTGGTGGACAGGTTGACAAAGTTTGCACACTTCATAGCATTGACTCACCCTTACAATGCTAAAGGAGTGGCAGAATTGTTCATACAAGAAGTTGTCAGATTGCATGGATTTCCTAAGACCATTATTTCAGACCGAGACAGTGTTTTTTTAAGTGTATTCTGGGCTGAATTGTTCAAATTGGCGGGCACCAAGTTAAAATATAGCACAGCCTATCATCCACAAACTGACGGACAAACAGAGGTGGTAAACCGATGTGTGGAAACCTACCTTAGGTGTATGACAGGGAAAAGGCCCAAGCATTGGCCCCAATGGCTGCCATGGGCTGAATTCTGGTATAATACAAATTATCATGTATCAACCAAGAATAGCCCTTATAAAGCTTTGTATGGGCAGGACCCACCCGTTCTAATTCGTGGCGATGTGTCATTAACAGCTGTGGAGGAGGTTAGTAGACTAACAGCTGCCCGGAATGAAATTCTAGATGAATAAAAGCACAATCTGGAAATTGCTCAGAACCAAATGAAGCAATTGGCTGATAAGAAGAGAAGGGATGTGCAGCTGGTAGTGGGGGATTGGGTCTATTTGAAAATCCAACCCTATAAACTTAAAAGTTTGGCTAAGAGGTTAAATCAAAAACTAAGCCCGAGGTTTTATGGACCCTTTGAAGTGATTGAACAGATTAACCCAGTGGCCTACAGATTAAAGCTACCGGAAGACTGCAAGGTTCATTCAGTTTTTCACTTGTCACTGCTGAAGAAGGCTGTCCCTACCTCTACCCCAACACAACCGTTGCCAAAATGCCTAACAGAGGAGTGGGAGCTGCAAGTCAAGCCAGAGTCTATCAAAGGGAGCAGGGTTAACTCAACTGGTGAAGCTGAAGTGCTGGTTCATTGGGAGAATCTGCCTGATTTTGAAGACACTTGGGAAGATGCCCAGCAGATGCAGCACCAATTCCCTGATCTCCACCTTGAGGGCAAGGTGGTCAATTCAGGGGGGAGTGATGATAGGGATGCGGGAAGACAGCCTGGTGTTAATAATAATGTTAACTATTATGGTCAGGTGTATTCCAGAAAGAGAAAACAGAATATTAAATAACTAAGTGTGGAAGTCGAGGGGGTGGAGGGGGAGTTATTATAAATAGCCAATTATTGTAATAAAAAGTCAGGCTGGTTTTTGGCTTTGGCTTGGGCTGGGACTGGGAGAGAGGCAACTCTTAAAACTGCCAGACTCTGTTCTCTTCATATTCCTATCATTTATTCAACTCTTAAACTGCCAGACTCAGTTCTCTTTCATATTCCTATCAAACCCTTTCCAAGACTTGCCTTGCAGAGACACCAATGTGCAAAAGGCTGCCCTTATTACATTGTGCTACCAAACTACTATCTATGTACTCCATAACATGCTTCAAATTGCTTACTTAATTTACCTTTAGTAAAGAAAGTCTGTGATACAATCGAAACATCAAAACTTTAAAGAAGTGCATCATTATCCTCAGAAGTTCTTTCCAAGGATGTAGTGTTGTCTATTCTTTTCCTCAAGTCAGGAGGAAATGTATAATCATTTTACAGAGAAGAAATTGAATTGATAAAATTTGATATAAGAGGCATTACAATATGTACCCAGCAATGATCCAGTTATCACTTTTCACTTTTGATTAGTGCCTTTTATTCAACTGTGAATAAGGAAAGTCAGGGTGGGGTTTAAAAGAAATGTAAAACTGCAATTGTAAAGAGGAGAATGTCCAGTCTAACATTTCATTTAGTGGGCTTGCCAAAACTATTCAACCCCGAATGATACCATTCAAAAGACCTTCTAATGAGCCACCCATTCCTGCACCCACAGCTTCAGCCAAATTTTTTGCCTACAAAAGTTGCAATCTCTTTTCAAGGTCAAATTTTCAATGTGAAAAATCGCATAAATAAAATCTCTTCTGACCTTGCATATTTAATTTGTTTTTTGGAAAGCAGCCTAAACATAAAAGCTAATATATTCACCTCGTAAGCAGACTTCCGCAGGTCAAAAGCGTCTCTAATTCGGGCATCCATGAACTTCCATGTATCGACAAGATCTGAAAACAGGAACAATATATAATACCCCATGTCACCCATTTATGTTCCTACTCCCTAGGGAGTACGGACATCAAGGATTTTTAGGCAAGACAACTTTTATATTGATTTTGCAAATATATCCTCAATTAAAGGTATGATAGAGAAAGTGAGCAATTAATAATGTAGGGTAATTCAGTCTTTTACTATGCAAGTGTTACCAAAACAAGAAGTGTAAACTTAATGCGGGGACATTTCAAACAAGAAAGTGAGAACTTAATTTGGGGACAAAGAGAATAAAGAATGTAAGGTGCCAACAGGGCAGCTAACTTTGGTTTTGTAAGTGGCTCTAGCAAAAGTAGATAGGAGATAAATAGACGGTACATTAGGCCGTGCTTCAACTGCATTACATCCTCACCACTCACAGAGCAAGTAGGAATGAAAGTTATTATTTGGATAAATAGGTCGGTTGAAGCATATATATAACAATTTAGAAAAACATCATATCTGATGCAAAAAAAAAAATCAAAAGATGGGGCAATGTGCATTGAATATAATTGGTGGCAAGATCACTCAGGAAACACATTTAACAGAAAAAGGAAGAAGAAACGGGTGGGACTAGGTTATGTTTTAGCGTGAAGGATGGATTTTATCAAATATATTCGGGGAAGAAAAAAGTAAATAACCTGGAGATTTATCAGTCAGCATATATAGCTCAGTTGTGGAGTATATTCCACCAAGCACGGTGCACTTCACATACCAATCAATATTATTAGAATCTTCATCACCAGCGGCATGACATATTTCATCAACCAACATTGCCCGCTGCCTAAAGCTTGTTGGAATGTTCATCGGTTGTGCCTAAAAATGTAGTTCCCACAAGGATGTTATTAATACGACATTGATCAATCCATATTATATTCCTTCCAGCAAAAAACACTGGGGGCGAGGTCTCTCATATAACAAAGAAATGCAATTTGATGTGTAAGGGAAAGAGACCTGTATACTGAGTGCTCGAGACCACTTTGACAAGTAAGGAACCTGCATTTCTAAGCGAGTTCTGATCAGTGTTGCAACTCTCTCACTAGGTATTATGGTTTTCAAATCTTCCCTTGTGTCAATAATACCAAGGAGCCTTTCCAAACAATCATCCATGAAAAACTACAAGGAAAATTTAAACAGGTTAAAATGAATAACTACAACAGCTAGTTGTGCAACTAAAACCATAATAAACATTATGAAAATGGTATGTAAATGCATGAAATTGTCCAAACATAATGTCACAATACCGTCCATCTCATTTAGATTCAGATATGACTACATGAGGAAGTAGCATAATTATTAAAAGTAGAATTATGTTGTTGGTGTTGAATTTGAAAAGTATGGTATGGGGCAAACAGAGTGGGATAGACGAGAACGAAAGATGGGATGATGATTGTATGATGGGGGAATAGTGCAAAAATTCTACTACCTTGGACCCTTATAGCTTTGACAAATTTCCATTTTTGGTTGTCTCAAACACTTTGATACTTTCTCTTTTAAGTAATTAATTTGTGGTTCTTATTATTTATATGCATCCGTGTGAACCTCAATCCGCATGAACCTCAATCCCACAATTTTTACTTTATTATTTCATATGCCGATCAAATTTAACAAAGTTATAAGGACGGAAGGAGTATATGATAGGAGGCTTAACCTCAACTAGAGCAGCTTCTTTGGAAGGAAAAGATCCAACAATTGAAGGAGAGACTCCAACCTCCCTTGCACCTGCAATCATGGCAGCTTCAGTCCAGCCCAATCTAATCTGCATTGGAAAAATAATAGAGCCAACTATCTAAGGTCAATCTAGAAAAAGATTACTTTGGAATATGAATTAACATTAAAACAATTTAAATCAAAGAAGAAAAAGATGGAAACAATAATTCCAACACATGATTTACAAAATCTACAATTAGGAAGAAGTGGGTACTTATATTTATTGGGTATATCTGTGAGTTAATGGCAGAATAGGAGCAAGAGCAGAAAAAAGTAATTTTGACAGAAACAGAAATCTGAATTCGGTATTCCAATGAACAAATCATATTTTTTCCATATCCATGAATCATTTTTTCTTACTACTTGGTGTGTCAATACATAATAGTATAATACGGCTTTACCACACCAATTTTCACCACAATAGGCGTTCCTTAAGCAATAATATTATCAGTCATCACCATGACTTTTTGATAAATAAGGCACCCGGTTCTACGATTAGCTAAATGAAATAAAGCATATAAGCCGCCATTAAATCAGATGTTTATTAATCAAAATTACATCTTTAAATGCGAAATCCGAACAACACTTTTACTCCGAACCAGAATATTAAACGCCATGAGAGAATGAAAGATTCGAACCACATAAGGGAGAGAGGCGCTGAGAACGCGAGACTGTTCGCCTTGATAGTGAGCTTTAGGAGACGTTGCTTTCGTTCTGGAGCTCGATTTCTCATTCTTTCCGAGGACCGGAGCTCCCATCTCCTCTTTCCCAGAAGATGACGATTCAAAGTGGGGATGGATAGGGCTTTGGTTCGGAATGTTCTCAGACACAACAGAATTGAAATAACGCGTCGCCTGGATATCTCCTAAAGCTCGATTGGAAGATAAATTTATCGGAGTGTTGCATCGGCGCAATGCCGGGAACAACCGTCTTGCGGCAATTCGATGCATTTGCTTAACCGTTATACAGTGTTGGAGCAACTCCATGTTTTTATTTGCGGAATCCAAAATTGGAACATTTTTTGTAAGTTAGTTGAAAAATGTTGCTTTTGTGAATTGAGAAGCAATACACCTTTAATAATTTGGAATCGGCTTCTCCTTCTTTTTTAAAGCAGGAACAGAATCAGTTTTCAGAAGCGAGTAGCCTCCCCAACTTTAAAAAAAAAACTGATTGTAGAAGTAAATTAGATCACTAGAATCACTTTTGTACTTTCACTTAGGCATGGCAATGGGTCGGGGCGGGTATTGCAAGACCCGGACCCGCCCCGTGACTTGGCGGGGCGGGTCCGCCCCGCCCCATGACCTGCACGGGTCCAAACTTGTTGACCCATGACCCGCCCCATGCGGGGCGGGGCGGCCCCGCCCCGCCGCAACCTAATTAGCTAGTATATATTTTTATTTGTGGGAAGTTGTTACCAATTGAATCTACATAATGTTTATCTCTAAATAATAGTTAAAAATCAATATATTAAATCAAATTCATGATACGCTAAAAATTTCAAAAATTAAGGAAAAATTACTCAAACTTGAACAGTTAATCTAATTAGTTATATTAATAATTGAATATATGTATTAAAATTCTATATATAAAGAAGATATTGATAATCCGTCGTGCATCTCATTCTAATATATATATTCATATATTATAAGATCAAAGAATTTATGATTTATTATATACACACATATATTTTGAAGTATATTTATAGTATAATTTAAGAAAAAGTATGTATACTTATATATTGAGCGGGTCGGGTCGGGGCGGGTCGGCACGAGTCAATTCTAATACCTGGACCCGCCCCATTGTATAGGCGGGGCGGACCCGCCCCATTTGCAAGACGGGGCGGGGCGGACCCGCCCCAAATGTCTCGGGCCAGGGCGGGTCATTGCGGGTCGGTTTTTTTTGACATCCCTACTTTCACTCAAACACTTCAGCTTCTGTTTTTGCTCCCTAAAGAAGTATAAATAGTTTTAAGAATCAGATCCAAGCACCCCTAACTACTGTAGTAAGTATCGGGCCTAACATTCGAAAAAAAAAAGTATCAAGCCTATTCTCTTGAGAATTTCTCCTTCCGTCTCATAAAACGGTTCATGCATTATCTTGAATCGGAGTTTAAAAAATTGAGAATAAAGTGAAAATGTATGGTTGTAGTTGAGTAAGAAAAAGGTTAGTGAATGTGAGCCACACAAAACTTTCCAAAAAGGGAAATAAAAACTATTTTTTTGGGACAACCGAAAAATGAAACCGGAATTCTCATAAAGGGATTCCGATAGACAAATTATGCTCATCAATTTTAATAAATTTCCCCACAAAATTGCCAATACTCCCCACGTTTTTATAGTGAAAATAACCCACAGGTATACTGAATATAAATTGTACGGAGTATTATGAAATTGTGTAATAATATAAAATTTTTAATTTAGTACTCGTAAATAAACTCGAAAAACATATTACAAATTTATGAATCTTACAAATTTTATATTTTTATGATAATATTTTTTAAAAGGAAGGTTTTCAAACTATCAATAGTTTTTATTATTATTAATTAATACTTTTTATTTATACACATGATTTCTCAAACTTAAACATCATTCAAAAGAGTTAAATATGGCCTATTAGGGGTGGGATTTTGGAACCGGGAACCGTAGAACCGATTGGAACCGAACCGTTAACAACATATAGGGACCGAACCGTTAACAATTAACACCTCATTTGTAGAAACCGAACCGAAAAAACATGTGCATGGAACCGTTAAGGAACCGTTATTAAAAAAATAAAAAATAAAATAATATTAGTAGTAGTAACAACAACAACAATAATAATAATAATATAATAGCAATAATAACCACCACCACAACAATAACAATAAAACAATATAAGATATTCAACTAACGATTCTAATTTAATCAAAGAAAACGAAGTAATAAATGTTGAGGTTGATATAAATTTTGTTCCATCACATAAATTTTATAAATATAAATAACCCAAATAACTTGTAGTTGATTGCACATATTTTACTTTACTATTTTCATGATATTTCTAATTATTAGATTTATTATGATCAATAGAATGGACTAATGTTTTTTATATCTATACATGCGAACTCAATGTATTTTTTTATGTTTTGAAAGACTTGAAGTATGCGTCCTATTCTTGGTACTATGATGATGAGTAACCTTCATTGCTCCCACACTACAACGATTTTAATTTGTTATTTATTACATGAAAATTTAAATCATCTTTTGTTCTATTAAGTGTTCACAGTTCATTAGTTTAGTTTGAGCTTTGATGTTTGAAGTGATTAGAGCTTCAAATAAAATTTTAATACTCGTGTTTTGAATTTTCGACGTGTTTATGCTGTTTGTAGAAAGTAAATTATGTGTTAATTCTTAGATGAGAAAAAACTATTATAAGAACTGGTAAAAAGAAGAACCGAACCGTTTACTACCGGTTCGGTTCCATAACGGTTCTTGATTTTTTAAAACTTTTATAAAGTTCAGCTCATTTTTAGTGGAGTATAAGAATAAGAATAGAACCAATCCCAGCCCTATGGCCTATGCATTTCCTTCTTCCTTCGAGTGAACTCTTCCTCGCCTCTCTTCCCTATCGGCATCTCCAACTACAGCACTGATTCCGACTACAACAGTTCACCTTCAATCTACCCGACACTTTTCTTCTTTCTCTTCCACCTAACCACCCATCTGACCATCTCCATTTTTACGCTGTTGCATCTAATCATCTACTACTACTCTTCGAGTTCGGCTCCATAACTCATTGATGCGACCATCAAAGATCACAACTTCACTCTCAAGAACACCCATTTCTCTTCTGTTTCAAAAACAATGTTGGAGAATCAGACGGGGCGTTCTCACCGCTTGATCCCCACCTTCTTCTCCACCCACAAGACCCTTCTTACCGTTCTATGGATCTTCGCCTTCTTCACCCTATTGCTCTGGCAGAAGGATGCCGCAGATGGACTCTTCTCTTCCAGGAGATCTTTACCAGCTAGGGAACTGCCCAAGCTCCGCCCGGTGGCGTTTAATTTGACGGAGTTTGGAGGGGTTGGGGATGGGATTACTTTAAATACGGCGTCGTTTGAGAGGGCTGTCACTGCTATCTCGAAACTTAGCAGGAATGGCGGCGGGCAGCTCAATGTGCCTCCTGGGGTTTGGCTAACGGGTCCTTTCAACCTCACCAGTCATATGACTCTCTTTCTTGCTCAGGATGCTGTTATTCTTGGCATTGATGTGAGTATGGCCATGTATTTTTATATTTTTACATGTATATTTCTAATTTTCTATGCCAAAGGTTTGAACTTTATCAGTTCAATCAAATGCTTTTTTAAACTTAGTTGGATGAATGATTTAATTTTCTTTTTTTGCGGGAAAACAAAAATATTAATAGAAAGATGCAGGATTACAATCAAAGTTTAGAGTGTCATTAATCTGCCAAGGAGACTCTAGCAGTAACACCACTACCTCATGTTAAAACTGTCATGTTGCTTTGAATATTGACATATGGCATGTATGTGAACCAGATATGTAGGCCTAGGTTTACACTATAACACAACTTTAAAGAATTACCCGAAGCTAAAATGATATATGGAGTAGGAGTTATGCACACTAGCTCTGCTCTGCTCAGTTCATATTGAGAATATTTTTCTCTTTTTTGTTTCAATGGATTTTTCTCATTATGCACATAAGGGAGGAGCCGTATGAGTTCTATTTGAGGAAAAACAATGACAGTCATATATTTGTATGCATGTGTTATGTTTTAATAGTAATCTTTATATTCCTATTTTTTATGTTTGTGAATTTAGATGATGAAGCAACTGGTTTTCATTATTTCGTACTAAACTGGTGGACATAGTGATAGAATTTGAATAGTATTAATGCATTTTGTTGGTTTTAATAGACGATGTGATGTTTAGTCACCCTGCTAGCGTTCAGTTTTTATTCAAATATGGAATTCCTTGCTTTGTATATTCACAGGTTCTAAGTCTGATAATTGGGTAGTTAGAAAACACACTAACTCAGAATAATGAAAACATTTTTCATTTTTTTGTGCCATCTTAAATGGACTTATTTCAGTAGAGCTAAGGCTATTTTTGGAACCCTGAAAATGCTGGGAGAACATAATGTCAAGGAAAGTTATTTTTTATGTTTAGACCTACAGCAGAAAATGCCAAGGAAACTGAAAAAAGAAATGATGTTTATGTTTTAAATGTGTTTGGATTGCTTGGTATGTCTAATATGAGTACATAGTAAATAAAATGAATCTGATCAAACATTTAGAATAAATTTATCAAGTTCAAATCAATATTTTTTTTTCCTTTACATTTATTTCCCTGTAAATCTCTCCAACCCCCCCCCCCAATTTTTTCCCTATCATTTTCCTTCTTCTAATCAGACCCTAAATGGAATCTGATTTGTGTTCAGTTTAGCTTTTAGTTATTTCATTGAAGACACCTCATGGGCAACAATTAGTGCTTATGAAAGTGATGAACTCATATGATGTTTAACATCTTGGTTTGGCAAATTTACAACACATATTTGCACTCTCTATATGTGCTTACAAATTTGGATGGCTACACTTCAAATAAATGCTGTACTCCACTTTACAACTTTAAAAAATCTTTGTGAATTTTTTAACAAACTTTATTATGGTGCATTTAGGATGAAAAGCACTGGCCACTCATGCCTCCCCTGCCTTCATATGGACATGGAAGAGAACACCTAGGGCCACGCTATGGAAGTCTAATCCATGGTCAAAATCTTAAAGACGTAGTAATAACAGGTTACTATTCTGTCTTGACTTGTGCATGTTAAATTCTGCTGACCAATGTGAGCGCTGCAGGCTAACGAGGCTCAATATTGGTGGCAGGTCATAATGGTACCATAAACGGGCAGGGTCAAGGATGGTGGAAGAAGTATCTTCGTAGACTTCTTAAACACACTAGAGGGCCACTTGTACAGTTTATGTGTTCAAGTGACATCCTAATCTATAATGTTACATTGCGTGATTCTCCCTTTTGGACTCTTCATCCTTTTGACTGCAAAAACGTTACGATTAGAGATGTGACCATCACTGCCCCAATCTTTAAGGCTCCTAATACTGATGGCATTGATCCCGGTGAGAATTGTTTAATTTAATTCCCTCTTAGAGGGGAAAGCTTTACAATTTTATTTGTTTGTGAATGCCTAAATTGATTTGTACGGCTAAACAGATTCATGTGAAGATGTGCTGATTGAAAATTGTTACATAAGTGTCGGTGATGATGCCATTGCAATAAAGAGTGGCTGGGATCAGTATGGCATAGCTTATGGACGGCCTTCAAAAAATATACTCATACGAAACCTAGTAGTCCAATCCATGGTTAGGTGAGGTCTCATTCACAATACAAGTAATACAACCCATTCTCTTCTAACTTCTAAGTTTAGGGCATAGAAGGCCTTTAAAGTTGCAATCTACTGTCAGGATTTCCCCACAACACATCATCTAGTAATGTGTGCTATGTGCAATCTCGGCCATTGAACGCTCCCACAAAAATCCTTGTTGTGACCAAAATATGGAAGAGGGTGGGGATTGGGGATCACATAGATTTAGGGGTGGATGAGGCTATGGCCCAAGCCGATTTTATCAGTTTTGACCCAAATTGTGTGTGTGTGTGTATTTATTTATTTAATGTTGGTTCCAATAAAATCAGATCTAACCTCATTCAAAGTTTTAAATAATTATCAAGGTCATGAAAAATATGTTGAACTTGACCTGAAAGCTGAACTTGTTGCCTACCTACACTAATTTTATTAGTTGCATTTGTATGCTTTTCATGATTTTTAAGAGTAAAATAGTAGGGGTAATGAATATTAAAGGGGAAACTGGTAGTACATAGTGGATTCAAAAAGGAAAAAATAGGAGTAGGGAAGAGAATATGAGAAACTGAAAAAAGTTGGAATAAAATATGAAAAGTAGAACACGTAGGGAAGAGATGATGAAAAACTGAAGTAAAATTTGCCAAAAAACTGGAGCAAGTATTAATGAACTTCCAAAAACGGAATCTGATTCAACTAAACAAAAAGAGAAAATAAGTTAGATAAACAACCTATTGATTTCAATAGTCATCATATTTGAATTTCTATTACTCTTTTTGTGAAGTAGAAATTTAACATTAGACCTATGTCACGGAGTACTATTTTATTGACGTTTCATTGGTCTACATTAGAATGTAAAAGTTAAACTAATAATGTTTGAATTTTCAGGATTTAATAGCCCGAACAGTATATATCCCCACCCAAATCCAGAATGCACCCCTAGTTTAGGATCAAATTTCAGATCTAAAAAAATACTACACAGATGTTTTTTAGGTTCAAAATTATGACTCCTCAAACCTGACCTATGCCCACCTCTACATTAGTATTATATTTATATGATGATAATGAGATTACTAATAGACAATTCCATCATTAGTATCTTTGACATGTTTTGTGCTCTTAGACCTAACGTGTTAACTAAATAACGACAGTGCTGGCATATCAATAGGAAGTGAGATGTCCGGTGGGGTGTCCAACGTAACTGTTGAGAATCTCCATGTATGGAACTCGAGGCGTGCCCTTCGGATCAAGACAGCAGCTGGAAGAGGGGGATACATTCAACACATTTCCTATCGCAACATTACACTTGAGAGTGTGAGGGTAGGAATTGTCATTAAGACAGATTACAACGAACATCCAAATGGGGCCTTCGACCCTAAAGCAGTTCCCATTCTCAAGGACATAAGCTTCACATCAATACATGGGGAGGGGGTACGGGTCCCGGTCCGAATCCACGGAAGTGAAGACATCCCCATCAGGAATGTAACTTTCCGTGACGTGTCCATTGGGATAACATACAAGAAGAAGCACATTTTCCAGTGTTCTTTTGTTGAGGGAAGAGTTATAGGGACAATATTTCCTGCTCCATGTGAGAATCTAGATGTGTACGATGAGCAAGAACGTTTGATCAAGCGTGCAAATGTTCACAATATTTCAGACATAGATTATGACCTTTGAATTGATAGTAGACATAGGCATACATTTTCAGGGTAATTTTCCTAGCTTTTGTTCTTTATTTCTTGCTTTGTATATAGCTTTCGAATATTCAGTCGATATATTCAAGATTTCAAGATACTTGCATATACTATATATGCACGATAAGGAAGAGGTTTGGCTTGCTTGCTTGCTGTGATTAGGCTTGGACTCGGTGCGGGCCACCTGGCCCGATACTGTGTGGGCCCGGCCCAGCTTGGGAGGGTCTAGGCCTGCTTTGTGGGAGGTAACCGGGGCGGGCACGGGCAAAGGGAAATGCGAACCGGCCCAGCCGGGCCCGGTTCGGGCCTATTTTTTTTTTGGGGGTTTTCAATTCTTTTTTGCTTTTCCCTGGGTTGGGCTGGGTCACCAGGGTGTTTTTTTTTTTTTTTGGGGGGGGGGGGGGGTGGGGGTGGGGGTCAGGGGGAAGTTAGCAAAGCAAAAAAAATATAAACAGGCTCGAGCCCGGACCGGACCCGGTGGATACCCGGGCCGGTTCCGGGCCTAACCCCATACCCCCAAAAAGTCCGTTGGGCCTAGGCCCGACCCGGGCCCGGTCCATCACTTGCTGTGATATACAAGTAGTGAACCTTATCTGCCCTATTGTCCGCACAATTTGTGTAACCTCTTTTTTTTCCTTCCTGGTAATAGTGTAATACCTGAAAGTGTTGGGGTGAGGGTCAGAGAACTCATAACCGAAAATTTATAATAAAGAGGTATTGAGAGTATGAGGGCCAAACCAAAGCCTACTCGAGAAAGAGTTAAAAGAAACAAGCAACAAGGAGATAAATTAAAGATAATAGAGCCTGTATAGATAGATGTTTGTTGTATTTGTGATGAAATTTGATCGCTCTTTGAATATATGGAGGATAAATGTCCTTGCACTAGTTTGTGCAGCGATTTGTATTTGTGTTGTTCGGGATAAACGTAGTATTAAAACTCTATATGACCGGCCTTAGCTTTGCTCCTTGTTACAATTTGTTGACAGTATCCCCTGTTATACATTATTGGCTCTAGAATTGATGTGAGTTGGTGTTGGTGGCTAATTTTTTTTTTTCCTCGAGACCACATAAGTGAATCCTTCCTCTTCGACCAATATGTCTATAAGGGACAGACTATCTGGTTCATTATCATCGGGAATAATTAGCTGCTGAGATTATGGATAAACCAAAGATTTAGTGGGTTGGATGGTTTGTTTTTCATTCAAAGGGTTGATTTGGGATGGGTCTCCTCAGCTGGAATGTTTGGGGGAGGGGGGGGAGGGGGGCGGGCTCCGTAGACCCTTCCGCTTGAAAGTTAATGATTGCATCATTAGCTCTTGTTTTTTCGGTGTAAGGTGTAGTTTCGAAACCCCTATCACATGAAACTTTATTGGTAGAGATTGACTGCTCTAAAAGGTGCTCACAGGGAGGAGTATGGACTGGTGGAGGCTCCAGAGCTGCACGCTCAGGTTCTGTATATTCCAAACCATTTACTGAAGCTTGGAATGTAGTTTTGGACGAGAATGCAAGATCACGGGCAGCCAACTCAGGAACATCAAATCCAGTTTCAGTAGGCCCCACAACATTTATTGTAGCTTGGATTATTGTTTTGACAGGGACAACAATTTCTGAGACACAATTAGCAATTATAGTTGCCTCCTCAGCCGCATCATAGGAGTTCAACACAAGGGTCAACCACAGCTTGATTTTCATCATTTGGTTGATGCTTCGGGCCAGTTTCGCCACTAGCTAAGACTTAAGAAAGCCACTTTGGTTGGGGTTTGCCTTATTTTGTACAGATAAGGTACTGGAATTCCCAATTTTGCAATTTTTAAGAGAATGACCAAAAGTTTTACAACCATTGTAAAATAAGGGAACATCTTCATAGGTAACAGGTTAGAAAATCCGTTGGAGCCATTACCAATCAAGATTTCGGATGGTCAGTTAACAGATACTTTCAACTCAATACATATCCTTGACGTCGAATGTCGGGATAGCCTCAAAATGGATACATCTATTTTGACAGGTTTTCCAATCAAACTAACAATTGAAAAAAGTGCAGATTTTTCAAATAGATGAATGGGAAGACTCTCAAGGCTAATCCAAACAGGGGTAATGGGAAATCAGTGTTAGGCATGAAATATGGAGTCCATTTTGAAACCCTTATTTCAAAACCGTTGGAAATCGGAATCACAGTTAAATTAAATAAGAACATGCCTAGGATCAGATCAATCAAACCAATAGTAAAGCAGTCTGAAACAACGAGACCTTCAATTGATTTCCTGAGAGAAATCATTGATGGTTTGCCCCAAGGAAATAAGCGGATTAAGACAAATTGATGTTTAGCAGCGAGGGTGGAGACGTCAGTCTCCAAAAGAAAACGGTGGGAGGAATTTAAAACGGGAGGGAGCTTTTGGGGGTAAGAGAGTGTCATCCTTACCAGTAATGAAGGAAAGATCCGATGGAGTCGCTCCATCTTTGCACGAGCTGATGACGGAAGCGTAGGAGCGGGCTCCTGCTCCTGCTGGAGCTGACGTGGAAGCCACCGTCATAAAAGAGTGAAGAGAGAAGTGATATCGTCTCTCGCTAGCTAGTGTGTGAAATTATAAAGGAAAAATTGAAAATAATAATCCCAACTATTGCCGGTCCGCTGAAAATAATCCCAACTATTGATTATTTTTGTATAATCCCAACTATATAGACTGTCCGCCAATAATGGTCCATGACCATATATTACCTCTATAAAAAGTGAATTTTAAATAGAAATTAAGCGTAAAAATTAAAAGTTGAGATTATTTATAGAGATTACTTGTTACTTGTATATCTCATCTCATCCACTTTGGAAACTACAAAAATTTATTCATAGGGACCATTATTGGCGGAAGGTCCCTAAAGTTGGGATTATTCTGTAATAATCAATAGTTGAGATTATTATGAGCGGACCGCCAATAGTTGGGATTATTACTATCAGTTTTTCCAATTATAAATTCTGCCATTTGTGTAACCTATTTGCTGCTGATGAACCTAGCCGCCGCTTCACCATTATCATAGCCGATCTCAAATCCTAGTCGTGAGCCATCATTGATCTATAAACCAAGTCTTCATCGATAAGAATTCCTCTTTAGTGCATCACACCATTGCATCCACAATAGATCCTCATTGTTGGAACGAACAGAGTGTTGAAGAACAATCGCCGATCTATCATGTACGTTGCTCGTCGTTCTACCACCCTTTATGTTATCAATCTACCACCATCGCTACTAACGTTGTCTCCTTAGCCTTCACCATCTCTATTGGGCTCATCACCTTCACCATAATTGTATCGTCGTCGAGAACTTTATGGAGAAGAAGGTGAGTGAGAGGGAGGCTGTGAGAGAAGCATGGATTGTTGATGTAGCTTAGGGATGGATAGAAAAGATGGACGACAATGTGGTGGAAAGGTGGATGTGCGTGAGAGAAGATTGGGGAGGCGATGCATGGAATGGATCAACAATGTAATGGTTGAAGCGATGATGGAGAGGTCACAGGGGAGAGAGGGAAGCTGGGTCAAAATTAGGGTTGAGTTATAACAAGGGTATTTGAGTATATTCAGTTCAATTTCGATCACTTTGTTGTGCATATTAACATATCTCCTATCTATATAAAGCGCGGAAGAGAGTTAGTTTCGGTCGTTTTGGTGTTGCTACAGTACCTGTGTTGCTAACGCCGTTTGCTCCTCTCCCCCAGAATGTGTGATGTAGGTCTCCGAGTTTAGTTTATTTTTTTTTTTAAATTTCGATTGTAGAATCTTTGTTAAGTGGTCTACGGCTCTCGCCTTCTGAATCACATGTTCAACGTACTTGCAACACTCGACGTATACAAAGTGGAGCCATCATTCTTATGCTGATGTGTTGCGTTTTCAAGATTTCAAGAAGTTGGCTTCGCGTTTGTTTACGTTTTCTCAGTCCCATTGTTGTTGAGCTCGTTTGTGAGTTTAGTTTGTTGATTCTTTTTGGGTAGTGGTGCTGTCGCGAAATGTTTGGCCTTGTGTGGGGTTTGTGTGTTTTTTGTTGTTGTTTGTTGTTGGTGACCGTCATGTTTGGGTTTTCATGCTTTTTCTGACCGTTTGTTACCCGCACGTTTGGCTGCGGTGGTGAGCTGAACTCGACGTTGTGCTGTTGTTTTCATGTATTGGTTCGCTGTCGTGTGTGACGGGCTCTATTACTTGCATTTGTGAGGTGTCTTTCCCACCACTTTAATTTGTGAGGTCCTCTTTTCCTTAGCAATCTTTAGATAAGAGCCTGATTTGTAGATCTCAGTAGAGATCGAAATAGACCCAAATTTTCTCCTCTTCCTGTGATGAACATTATTTGAGCATGTGATTTGGTGAATAAAACGGCAGACCTGTGGAGCAAGATTTGATTTGAAATTAATCCTTCTTAACAGGGATTTTTCTATCTCAAAAATTTCAATATCATTTTCTCTGGAAGCAAATCGGAAGAGCTTAGATTCAATTTTCACGGAATCAAATCCCTCCTCTCCAAAAAATTGGAAATTTTCAAAATCGTTGGAAGAATCATCTGACGTGGCATGAATTATCTTTTGAGGGATAGCCGGAGACATTTGTGCAGAGGTGTGGGCAGCCAGGTCAAAACATTTGTCCCTATTTGACCGAACCATATTACTTAGTAACTATTAGTGACTATATATGATTGTGTTCATCTTTACATCATAATAATTACATGTTAGTTACTACGATGTGAACTTTGAACACAATTGTAATCACAAATAGTTACTAAGTCTAGCTCCGTCCCCCTAATATTGATACAAGAGAGAGTGATGTCGTTTTTAAAAAAAAATGAGTTATGTACCGGGTGCTTAGCTTGCCACAATTGTCTCCATGCCGCGCCGCCGCCTATTTTTTATATATGAAATTAGGGTTTAATTTGTTAAATGGGTAGTGAACGTGAGCATTGAATATGGCAATGGATAGTGTTAAATATGTGCACTGAGCATGACATTAGATAGAGTGGCTTGTGCAATGAATCAAAGGCAATAGAGCAATAACGACGTCACGAGATGTAATATATTTAACTGGACTTAAAATACTAATTTAAAGTTTCTACATCTTATAATAAATAAAAAATAACTACAAATATATTCCTAAAATGGATGAGAAGAGAATTAATGTTGGCGAGGAAGTGCAATGATTCCTACCGGATGTGCAATAATATCGTGTAATAATGTCGTGCAGATGGTGAAGTAACTGCAGTATAAACTGGATTATTTTTAATTGGACGAAAATAATGTAAAATGCACAGTTTTAAATAAGGATATTTTGGTCATTGATTAAAAATTATAATATGGACAAATTTTTCTTTTGATTTTTGCTTTTCAGCCATTCAAATGTTCAAAATATTGCTAGTAATTATTTAGGGAAACTCAATATGTTTTATTCATATTTGGGAAAATATCCCCCAAAAAGTAAATAAGATTAAAACATTCATAGTATATACTACGTAATACATTTTCTCACATATGAGCACCATGGTTTCTCTTAAAATAAACCTCATTCACTCGATCTTAAAACAACTTTTATAAATTATTGAGAAAACATAAATGATCGTAGACTAACTTAGTAAACCGAAAATGATAAACTCGGATTTGACTTGGGCGAAAATTACATCAGTCTTTGTAGACTCGTTAAATATTGGATAAATTATATATTGGTTTGCTTGTCATGCATTTATAGAATTAACTCATTTCAATGTTGCCTCGAGCATTTGCTGATGAAGAGTCTCTAGTCTTGCTGTAATATACACCGAGAAAGATTTGACATAGGCAAAAGTAACATAAGTCTATATATGTAGACTTGTAGAATGAACTCATTTGAATACTCCTTAAGCATTTGTTGATGAAGAGTCTCTAGTCATGCGGTAGTAGTACAAACTGAGAAAGATGAGGTCCATGACGCAACAGAATGCTGCTCCAATGAAATACCCTTTAGCCTGGCCCCCGGCCACAAGCACTACACTTCCTACGAGGGAAGAGGCACTACATATATATGGAGTATATATTAAACTCGATTTTCTCAAAAATATTACTACAATAAAACTAATTAATTACATAAATATGACCAAAATAAAGATGCATTACAAAAATATGATTCATTACTAGAGTAGTAATGAAATCATAGTAATTCATGTTCAAGTTTTGAACTTTAATTACCACAGCACTACGTTGTAGTAATGAATAGTCATATTTATATAAATAAGTTTTATTTTAGTAATATTCTCGTAAAAAACCCAAACTTATTTGCACAAATTAAATATAACAAATAAATACTAAAATGTAGTGTCATGATGACTTTAGTTTAAAAACTGAACATAAATTACTATGATTACATTACTATCATTAATCACAGTTTTGTAAACAATTTGATTTTAGTCAAATGTAATTATTTCATATTAAATTAATATGATATAGTACGTATGAAATAATTAACGGCACAAAGTTCATTTCATACGGTTTGGATTGCCTGATATAAATATGACCAATTATTCATCTAAATATAAATGTCTAAGCTAAATCATTTCAAAGCTCTATATATAATCAGGTTAATTATTCTTCCAACACTCGCCCAATATTCGGAACAGTTTTCACATATATTAAAAATAATCTCTGAAACCTATAATAGGAATTAAAGGTTTGAGAATATATTTCAAAAAAGAATTTGTTCAATAGGAGTGAATGAGTCATATTTTCGAAATAAAATATTGATAACCCAATTTATAAAGTTTTTGCATATTTTTAGAATATTCTCTTTTTTAAATAGTCAATCACAAAAAAATTGTACAAACTTGTACTCCCTCCGTTTCGATTTGTTTGACATAGTTTGACTTGTCAAGAATTAAGGAAATAAATTTACTAAGAGAGTAAATTTTACTATTTAGACAATGTTTGAACACCGTTTGACACTGTTTGGCACTGTTTTGGTAAAGGTTTGTTTATCAAATAAGGAAATAAGGAAGTGTGGTATTCATTTTGAAACGTCCAAAAAAGCAAAGTGTGTCAAACAAACTGAAACAGATGGAGTATATATAAAGTCCAATTCCTGTCCAGCCGGCCTGACGGGAACCGCCGTCCGGCTGAGGGCATTTCAGACCCTCCTCTGTAAAAATTTTTGATGAAATGTTTTGAGCATGTTATTCATCAAGTCTAGTTTACCCGTACTAAATTTCAGCTAAAAAGTCAATCGAGAAGGCAGTCTAATAAATTATGGGGTAATTTGAGTTTGCACCTCATTTTATTGTCCAAATTAGACTTTGCACCGCGTTTTGAAAATCTTTGTATTTGCACCCAACCCCATATATGAAATGACAAAAATGCCCCTCCATTAACAATTCTGTTGGCTTTCAACGTATTTCTGATCGAGGGCATTTTTGTCTTTTCAAATGGGGTTGGAGTGCTAACACTAAGGTTTTCAAAAACGGGGTAGGTGCAAAGTCTAATTTGAACAATAAAATGGATTGCAAATTCAAATTACCCCATAAATTATCCCCATAAATTATTTAAGAACATTGCGCAGTTAACATATATATAAACATTGCAATATTTTTCAAAAAATCATTTGAGTGTCTTCCTGATTGAATTTTTAGCTGAAATTTGGTATAGACAAACTAGACTTGATGAAGAACATGCTCAAAACATTTCATCAAAGAATTCCACCAGGAAGGTCCCGAAATGCCCTTGGCCGGACGAAGGTTCCCACCAGGCCGACTGGAAATCATAGTTTGTATAATTTTTTGTGGCTGACTATTTCAAAAAGAGAATAGTCTAAAAATATGCAAAAAGTTTATAAATAGGATTATGAGATTATCAATATTTTATTTCAAAAATATGACTCATTCACTCCTATTTTGGAAAGGTTTAATCAAGTAGTTTTTTAATAAGACTAAATAAGTCTTATTCAGGGAATAAAACATACTTAATCTTATTCTTTGAACCTTGAGTATATTTTGGCCTATCTTCAGGTCCTATAAATAACGGGTATTAGCCCTTAATGGGACTAAAATAAACCTTGAATTCAACAATAGGAGAATAATCCCTTTATTCCCAAAATAGGACTAATATATGTCTCTTCTTCCCATTCTACCCCCTTCCTATAATTTCCAATAGATTTATTTTATTAATAAGAAAATCATAGTTTCATTTATAATAAAAATATAAAAATAATAAAATATTTATAAAATAATAATGAAAACATGAAAAAAAACCATTAAAAATAATAAATAAATTATTTAAAAAACTTTATAAAAGTCTAAAATCTAAAATAAAATACCTAAAAAATGTTTGAAAAATATGTAGGTCATTGCCAGTCCTCTACCTCCCAGCACCACCGGCTCCGATCGCCGGAAAAATGTCATATTGTGCTAAAATTGCCACATTTCTCTGAAAATATTAAACTTTCTCTTGCTTTCTCTTCAAAATTGCCATCATGATGGCATTTTTTTCCCAACTTGGCAATCTTTTTTGGCGACCGGAGGTGGCAGTGGTGGAAGGTGGCTGAGGTGGTGGTTGAGGTCTATATATTTTTTAATTATTTTTTACGATTTTTATTTTTTTATATTTTATAATGATTGTTTAAAAATCCTATTATGAAGGACAAAGGAAAGGGTAGAATAGGAAGAGTCAGTCATATTTAAACTTTAAACTCCTATGATTACAATTATCTTTTTATTTAGTCATATTTAGGTGAATCTCCCTATAAATAATCATACACATACGGGTATACAGTATAAAAAAACATCCTTTTAATCACGTTAAAATCTCTAGGCTTTTCCCCATATATATAATGAAAGGTATATATTTTTTTTTTCGGAAGAATGAAAGGTATATTTAATACTCCCTCCGTATCAAATTATTTGACCCACTTTCCTTTTTTGGGGTATCAAATTAATTGACCTCTTTCCCTTTTTGGAAAGAATCCCACTCAAAAAGCAGCTACAGTACTGCTACAGTATCGCTACAGTGTCGCTACAGTACCAAAAACCTCTTACTTTTAATAAAGTCTACAGTAATTGTCTTAAACTGCGTGAAAAGCAAATGAGTCAATTAAATTGATACGGAGGGAGTACTTTATTTTAACCTGAAAGATATATAAACTTTGTAGTTTTAATTTTCTTAAAATGAATTTCATAGTTTAAATATCACATTTGAAGGATTTTTTTCTTTCTTGAAAAAGGATTTTCTTTGGATTCCGGAAATGCTTTCTTTTCTTAATACTCGTAATAAATATTATGGTACAATACATTGCTTCGACACATGTGACACTGTAGTAATGTACTGTCAATCTATCATCTAAATTAATTAAAAGCTTATAAAAGCCAATGAAAGTAAGGTCTATTTGGGTATAAAAAATGTGTTGGTGTAAAAGCAAGCAATATGTTATTGTACTTTGTCTTTTAAACATTGTACTCCTTATTAGTCCCCTCCGTTTGTCATATGTTAACCTACTTTAACAATTTTAACGGTTTAACCTTAGCCGTTCGATCACTTGCCATTTGCCAGAGTTGCCACACCAATGTTCCCGTTTAACCATTGATGTGGAAGTGGTGGATTGAGTCTTTTCCAAATGTCTCGTATGCGTAGCTTTCCATCTGTATTTTCTTCCTATATGCATGAAAATGGTTTTCACTCTTCAAAATGGTTTTCTGTCATATTTCTGCTCAGAGTTTTCACTGTCAAGTGGGTTTCAGTTTTCATATTGAAGAAGTTATCTTTTTCGTTGATTACTATGGAAGCGTAAAATTAAGATGATTTCATTTCGCTGAGCCTCTCCATCTGTAGCGTCAAACGTATGTAGTGTACTAGATATGTATACAGTATACTAAAAGTAATCATTATCAATTAGTCATGCAAATGTTTCCCAACATTTGTCCCAACACGGGTGGACAAAGTTGAATTTGTTGAAATTGGTAAAATTCTAAAGCTAGTGAATTTGTTATTTTTTAAAGTGCTGAATTTGATGATTTATGAAAATATTATATACGGAGTATAAAATATATGTTACTCGTATTAAAAAGTATATATAAAGGTATATGAAAATAACTAAAGTAGATCTCTGCACCAAATTCAGTCAACTCATCAATTAGAAAGATGACTTCAATTTTACTTTTTTTTAATTACGCGACTCAGTGCTCGTAAAAAATGTTTGATAAAGAAGTTGACGACTTATAAGACTTAAATAAAAAATGTGAATCGCCTAAGGGATCTAAGTTATACTCCGTACTACGTACTTCATGTTTGATTAAAGTGCTATGTACTACACACTTCATGTTTGATTAGTGTAGATGAACATCTATATGGAAATGGAAGTTATTAATTGGCTGTTTTAAACATCTCTACATCTGAGTTAATTATATCTCCTTCCAACCTGTCTAGATGCAACGCCTTGCCTGAAATTTTGGATCATTATTACGGTATTACCTTGCTCACCCATTTTGATTTAGCTTGGAATTGGTAGAGTTGTTTTTATTTCTTATGTAAATTGGATTAGGAAGTTGGATTGGAAGTGCTAGACATCATAGTCGTTGACTTGGTCTAGCTTGGCCCTTCCCCATTCTTCCACTATGGCGATCAAAAGTAATTTGGCATGAAAAAGTTAACTTGGTTGTTTCAATCGGTTGACCCCTCTCCATGGGAAAGATTTATTAAAGATCAAATTAAATAACTTAATATATTTCGTATATATAGAACACCAAGTACTAAAACTTAAGTTTACGGTATGAAGCTAAAAATATATGAAGTATATGTGTTTCTCTCCATAGGGGACATATTAAGTACAAATTGTGCTTATTGTGTACACATTTATATGATACATCTTTACGGTATTTGTATTACATATATACTACCTCCGTTCTCTATTAATTGCAATATTTAACTTTTTGAACTATTCACATACTCTATTTTGACTGTATTTTATTTATTAATTTATTATAAATTAAATTTTAAAAAATATTTTCAAATCCCTCTCACTTTAAATATTCAAAATCTCAATTTTTTTATTTTTTTACTAATAAGGAACGAAATACATTAATGGTCAAACATGTGTGTTGACAAGCGTGAAAAGTGAACTGTTGCAATTAAAAAAGAACGGATGAAGTATTAAGGTTAAAAGTGTTAAATACTATTTGGCCATAAAATAGTAGTTTCATACGTAGTGGACGGATTGGTAATTGTAACTGGACGGGTTTGGTAACTGTAACTATAATATGTCGGGTCGGTAACTATAACTGGACGAATCAGGTAACTATAAATGGACGGATCGGGTAACTGTAACTAGACGAATTCGGTAACTGTAATTGGACGGGTCGGGTAACTGTAATTAGAAGGGTCGGGTAACTGTAACTGTACGGACGGACGTTGGTCACTGGATGAACAAACGTTGATCATTGGCCGGGTGAACGTTTATCACTTGACGGAATTTGGATTTTTGGTCATTAGCGATTTTTTGGTCACTGACTTTTTTGGTCACTATACTATTGGACAACGTCAAGGATATAAAAGTCAATTTTTTTTATCTTGCTAACATCTTGGGAATGGGAAAGTGGCTAGGAACATAAGAGTACTGATATAGTGATACGCAGTATGAAGTACGTACGAAGTAGTACTTAGTATTAGCCTACTAGGGTGTTGCGTATTGTTGCTGGAGCCATTAAGGGTATATGCATCCCATTTTTATAATTCTGCTACGGAAGGTCTCTTCTTTGGAAATTATTAAAACAAGTCTTATATTTGTCTAAATCATTAATTGGTAATATTGCTGACCTAACCCCAAATTAGTATGAAGCAATTTTAGTGGGACGGAACAAAAAAAAAGATGAGATAATCTTATTATTAGTAGGACCGATATAGAGTAAATTGTTACTTCGTATCTTCATGTTCAGCTAATGTTTAATTATAATGTTTCATTAACCAATGGATATATCATATATCTACAAAATAAATAATAAATACCATAAACAGGTGTAGTGGAATCCACTGGAATTGGGAAATAGTACGCTGCAGTTACATGGCGGCTTGGCACGCTGGTCACCCGTACACAGAATCCAAACTTGACGAAAGCCAATAAGAATAGTTGCTCCAAGGCCAGACCCTTTACAGATAGCTGTTAAGAACCAAATCCCATGGCTAACCTGCACCGTGCATGCATGCCCAAATTAGGGTAATTATAAATACGGTCCTTAATTTACTAAACACACACCAACTTCGGTAAGAGATAACAACTATTTTTTTGAAATCCTAATTACTTCCGTTGTATATTTATTGGAAATTCATCGTCCGGCGGCAAGTCAAAATGGGGCCCTATCGTTTGATGAGTTACCAAAAGAAAGTTTGCACTACATAGGATTATCATTGTTTTATTCTCAAAATAAGATTCACCCCTGTATCGTCAAACTTGAATCAAATTATTTTTAATAGGACTAAATAAGATCTATTTGTTTTATAATAAAATAAGATCTATTTGAGGTGTTGAGGATCGATTCCTTTCCGGCTCAGGTCTCCAACCCTTTAGCTAGACTCACACACACCACTTTAGGCTAGACTCACTCCACCACTCAACATGTTTACACTCCCAAGGTTCCACACAAAGGGCATCAAGAAAGGAGGAGAACACTCAGCTCTCAACTCTCTGGTTTTACCTCTCTCACACAAAGGAAAAAGGAAGGCTCTGCACTCTTTAGTTTCTCACGCAGGACAAGCTCAAGGAAGAAGAGAGCTGCTAAATAATAGATTGGCCAACACTAAAGGACACTCACGGGTGAAACAAAGACAAATGAGGAGGCAGCGGACAGCTCATTTGGGGTCACTCCACATAAGTCAAAATGGCCATATTATTGGTTAGGAGAGATTCAAAAGAAGGTATCATAGTGGGAGTAAACATAGGGTGCAAGTCAATAATAAAATGGAAGGGAGGCCTTGGTAGGATCAATACCTCCAACATGAGGAATACATGTTTTGTCCCAATTTTAATCATATACTCCGTATATGTAATCATTTCATGATTAATGATCCTGTCAGAACTACCTGGCAGGATCTGACGTCCGATCACCCATGTTTGAGTTGCTTCTGTGTGGATTTTGTGATAAAATTTTGTGAGAATGTTCTTCATGATGTGTAGATTATATACATCGAATTTGAGTTTAAAATTCAACCAGGAAGTCAATTAAATAAATTATTGAAAATACTACGCCAAAATATATACTTTGTATATAATAGTGCAATGTTTTTCAATTCCTTAATTTATTTAATTGACTTCTCGGTTGAAATTTAAGTTGAAATATGGTAGACATAATTTACATTTCATGAAAGAATTAATTCAACTTTAGGTCCTTTGAGTTTTGTGTTATTTCCATATTTAGTCCCCGTCTTTCACTTTATTCATTTTTAGTACCTGACTGTTGTTTTTTTGACCATTTTCGATCCATCTCTGGGGCATTTTTACTACCGGAAAAGGACTATATATGGTCAAGAAAACAATAGTCAGGTACCAAAAATGGATAAAGTGAAAGACGATGACTAATTGTGGAATTGGTGCAAACCTCGAAGGACCATAAGTGGAATTTCTTCTTTCATGAAAACATGCTCACAAAATATCATCAAAAATCTCTACCTGGAAAAATCTCAAATGGACGCTTTTGTCATGTGACCAACTATATTCTTAGTGGAAATTATTTATATTATAAAAATTATATGAAAAATGTTCTTTTACTTAAAATTACTTTCACAAATTAAAATTTTCATGATATTACACCAATCAAAATCACAATCATTATTCAAATTTTTGAAATGGCGATTTTTTTTGGACGAAGGCAGTATTTAATACTAGTACTATTAAAAAACTAAAAAAAATCAAAAGTTGGGGGCAAGGGTGCATGCAAGGCCCTACGCTATAAGTACCCGAGTACCTCCGTCCCGGATGCTCATGGCCGCCCCGAGCGGGAGGTAAAGTATGAATGTATGATATGATTTGATTATATATATTACCTTATGACTTTGTGTTAAGGCGAAAATTGCACAAGCAATTGGTATGAGATCCGCTACAAAATTGAAAGCTACAATAACAAGGAGACAAGTTACTTTCATTTCAAGTAGCTTATTAAGGCGTGCGAGATGAGTTGCTTGGCAATAAATATTACTACGTACTTCGTATGTAATTAAGGAAATTATTATCTTAAGGACTCGAGGAATTAAGTAAAGGGTAAAGATGAAGAGTATGTATTATACGTCCCAAATCCTGATTTATATACTGAAAGCCAGAGCGAGCATCCTCAGCTCCCATGACTACGGTCTTTCGCCGCAACCACTTGACCACCTCTAAATGCATGCTTGCTCATCACAGACGTCATTTGGAAATCAAAAGAAAGGAGTAATTAGGTAATTAACCATTTGTGAGGGAAGAATTAAACAAAAGTTACTTTGATAAAAAGTAAATATTGACTCGTAAATATGAAGGAAATTTCTACCGTGCCTTTAATAATTTTTAGGGTACGGTACATTGACCTGCCTGGATCAATAAGAGTGCTCCACGTGGATATTTTAAGCACTACGCAGAAATATAATTACAAAACATCTAATTTGAGATTTAAATTATTTGCACTGAGGTCCTGATTAGGGATTACCTCCTCATTTTTCGATGGTGAAACATCGAACAGAGGAGATCAGATTAAGCAACTTTGATTTTCATGAATCATCTCAATTTTTTCATTTTTCTCAATTGCTCTATTCATATATCCCGTTTAGTTTATATCCGAATTAGGTTTTTGGATTGTGTTTTGGAGCTCTGTATATTAGTCTCTGACTCTTTTGACCATTCCTGTGAATTAGATATTAGTAAATTATTTATTAAAAGAGAGTTTTGAAGCTCCCCAATAGTGGGCTATTTTGTTGATCAACATGATTGATCAAATAAAGACCAATGATAAAGATATAATTTGTAGATGTAAAAAAAATTTAAGGATGTAAAACGCTGGTTGAAGATAGAGAAAAACTCAAACAATTGCTGAGTTCATCCGCTAAAATGTCTTCGCTAAACCTAAGTCGAGTGCCGCTTCATAAGAAAAATACTTGTGCTTTCTTCTTCTAGACTGCATAGCCGGTGCACCGTCAAAAAACAGAGGTTTAAGATAAAGGACTCAAATGCAATTAAATTAACCGTCATATTATTTATCTGTTGTATTTTTATTGCGGAGTATAAATCTAATTAGATATACACGTGTGGCATTTTAATTGAGCCACTTAAGCGAAGGTATGATACACTTCCGAACTATGGAGGTACCGTAGAAAGACCCAAATATGAATTAAGAAACTGCTGTAAATAGAATTTTGGGGTTTTTCCCTAAATATTAGGGAGTACTAAATTAAAGCTATTTTTTAAAAATGTGATCACATTCACATTTGGATAAAAATGTGAATAAAATAATGTGACAATCAAAAGTTCATGTCACTGTCCAATTTCCATGTCACTACGTCATGTCATTACTGACGCCATCGCTCGTGGCACCGCCACTGTCGCCATCGTTGCCGGTCACCGGCCACAATGACACCGCCACAATGATACTGGATGCCGTGCGTCATTATGTCATCAGTCCAGCCCTCCCCAAATCAGTTACAATCGCTTCTTCTAACCATTATACCAGAAAAGAACATTCAGACCAAACCCGACCTCTTAATCCTAACATCTTCATTGTTTTAATCCTAAATTTTCAAATCAAACCTAACCTTGTCCCAAATTTTTATTTTAATAAACAAATCTAATTTCTAAAAACCTAATTTCAGTAATCAATGGAGAAAAGTGTCACTTCAGTACCTGAACTCGTGGTGTCTGGCGTAAAGAGTACCTGATGTAGCAAATGAGTTCCAACGGTACACCAATTGTCCAAACGCGAGCTAATTTGGTACCTCGGCTCATTAGTTTGGATAAAATGGTGACATGGCAAACGGATTACTTACGTGGCCAACGTTTTACTTAATTGGCAAAATTAAACCGTCTTTGAACATTATCGGTCGTTAATAACGTCCAACGTAACCCTAACCCCTTGCCTTGTTACCCCACTTACAAATGAACGGAACGGGGGATTGAAGCCATTGTGAAGAAGCTTAGAGCAATTTGACTTCTTGACTTTCAGATGGAGATGGAGTCATCTCTTCAAAGGTATTGAAATATATTTCGTAAGCAACATTTTTATTACCATTCCAAGAATGATATGGTTTAATACAATTTTTATATACAAGAACTTATACATGCATTGCTCTGGTGAAGTAAATTTAGGGTTGTAAATTGCTTAAGCATAATATTACAGTGATGAACACCAGTGTTGCACCAATTATTAATATGTAAAATGTGTGTGTATAGCAATAGTTTTTCTGTCACATGCTTTGAAATTCTTTATGAGCAATTTAATTAATTGTGTTGGATTGGTTGTTGGTAACATAGTTATGATTGGTGCAGACAAACAATGGAGGGCCCAACTTCTAATGTCCCCTTTGCTGTTGATCTGGGCTTCCAAGATCCTGTTATTGAGGCAGAAGCAGGCCTCTTATTTGAACAAGAATATAACTCAGAAAATGAAGATGATGAGGAGCTAATTCGTGGTAGGAGTCTGCTAAGGAAGCTGGTCACCAATTCAAGGATTCATAATCAACCCAAAGGTCGAAATACAGATAACCCACCCACACTTGAAGAAGAGGAAAGTTGGGAGGAAGATGGTTATGCAACTGAATACTTCAGTTCTAGTGAAGAAGGAAGCTACAAATCTGGTTCAGATCCTGAAGAAGAAGAGACTGTCAGAGTGAAATCCGGATTTCCATGCTTCAATCCTCAAGATAAAGTCTCCTTTTCTTTGGGGAATGAGCTTTGACTCCAAAAGTAAAGTGAAAGATGTCATGGATAAATACTCTCTCAGCAACAGGTATCCCTATTATTAGGCAAAGAATTGTGGCAACATGCTTAGGGATAAATGCTCTAATTTGAACAAGGAATGTAGTTGGATGGTCTACATTGCCATAGACAATAGGTATAGCAGTAAGAAGTGGGTGGTGAAGACTTATAAGAGTCAGCATACCTGTAACCCCGGTTGGCAGCTACCCTGTGCCACAACAAAGTGGTTAGTCAAGAATTTTTTTCAAGACTAAGCCAGGAGTATGTGAGATGAAGGTGGCTGTAATGAAAGAAATGGTTAAGAGAGAACTGAACTGTGAAGTATCCTTGGAGCAGATGAAGAAAGCCAAAGCAATGCTCTGAAAGTTGGAAAAAGGGGATATAGAGGCAGAGTACAAGGATTTGGAGGATTATAAGGCTAAAATTATGAGGTCAAATGAAAGAAATACATGCATTCTGCAAGTGAAGCAACCCACTCCAATTTTTGACAGATTTCATGTATCTTTTCATGCCTGCAAAAAAGGATTCTTGGAGGGATGTAGAAGACTCATTGGAATTGATGATGCTTTTTTGAAGTCTGAAGTGAAGGGAGAAATTCTTACAGCTGTGGGAAGGGATGCCAATAACCGGATGTTTCCAATAGCATGGGCAGTTGTGGGTTCTGAAACAAAAGCCTCATGGAAGTGGTTTCTTGAAAATCTAGCCAGTGTTCTAAACATAGGAAGAGGAGATGGCTGGGCATTTGTTTCTGACCAACAAAAGGTTAAGTTTCAAAGTTATATTCTTTAATGTCTGTTGTAATGTGCCTTGT